GAACTACTGAACTAGAACTGAACTAGAACTGAAACTAGAACTGAACTAGAAATGAACTAGAACTGAACTAGAACTGAACTAGAACTGAACTAGAAAAAAACTGAACTAGAACTGAACTCTAGAAACTGAACTAGAACTAACTAGAAACTGAACTAGAACTGAACTAGAACTGAACTAGAACTGAACTAGAACTGAACTAGAACTGAACTAGAACTGAACTAGAACTGAACTGAAATGAACTAGAACTGAACTAGAACTGAACTAAACTGAACTAGAAACAAACTAGACACTAGAAAAGAACTAGAACGAACTAGAACTGAACTGAACAACTGAACTAGAATGAACTAGAAACTGAACTAGAACTGAACTAGAACTGAACTAGAACTGAACTAGAACTGAACTAGAACTGAACTAGAACTGAACTAGAATGAACTAGAACTGAATAGAACTGAACTAGAACTGACTGAACTAGAACTGAACTAGAACTGAACAGAACTGAACTAGAACTGAACTAGAATGAACTAGAACTGAACTAGAACTGAACTAGAACTGAACTAGAACTGAACTAGAACGAAACTAGAACTGAACTAGAACTGAACTAGACTGAACTAGAACTGAACTAGAAACGAACTAGAACTGAACTAGAACAATGAACTAGAACTGAACTAGAACTGAACTAGAACTGAACTAGAACTGAACTAGAAACTGAACTAGAACTGAACTAGAACTGACTAGAACTGAACTAGAACTGAACTAGAACTGAACTAGAAACTGAACTAGAACTGAACTAGAACTGAACTAGAACTGAACTAGAACTGAACTAGAACTGAACTAGAACTGAACTAGAACTGAACTAGAACTGAACTAGAACTGAACTAGAACTGAACTAGAACTGACTAGAACTGAACTAGAACTGAACTAGAACTGAACTAGAACTGAACTAGAACTGAACTAGAAACTGAACTAGAACTGAAACTAGAACTGAACTAGAACTGAACTAGAACTGAACTAGAACTGAACTAGAACTGAACTAGAACTGAACTAGAACTGAACTAGAACTGAACTAGAACTGAACTAGACGAAAACTAGAACTGAACTAGAACTGAACTAGAACTGAACTAGAACTGAACTAGAACTGAACTAAACTGAAACTAGAACTGAACTAGAACTGAACTAGAACTGAACTAGAACTGAACTAGAACTGACTAGAAACTAGAACTGAACTAGAACTGAACTAGAACTGAACTAGAACTGAACTAGAACTGAACTAGAACAGAATGATTTAGTGAAAAGGACATAGAGGGGTGAAAGGGGTGAAATTTGCATAAAATCTTCGTGCGTCTATAAGCTGTTCAAAAACAGCCAATGTACTATGACCAGTAAGCTAGTACAATTTTTGTTATTTAACTAAAATTTTTTTTAATTCACACCCAATTTCCCCTTTTTGGTGATAAACCCATCAACCTGTAAAATATAACTATTCCGGCTAAAACCACAGCAAAAACTTTGTCAATAAAACTCACAACATTTATATGAAGTAAACAATAACAAAAAAATTATATCGTATAATAAAAACTAAAAATAACTTAAATGTTATCAACAAATCAAAATAAACTCAATAAAACTATTCAAATGTTAACAAATCATAAAAAAGAAGATAAATATATAAAAAAAATAAACAACTAAAGTTTAAAACAAAATAAAATTCCAGCTATTTTTGGCAAATGATATGAAGTAGTGACATGAATTGGGACTATAGAAAATGAATAGGCATTAAAGAATAATGAATACACTTCAATCGGCACAAAATTTTAAAAACTTTAACTAAATGTATCTTAGAAAACAAAATTTTGACTACATCAATTTCACATCGGGATTTTTATAGCTTTTTTATAATACTACATCAAGAATAGTATCTATGCCTGTCAACTATGCCATACATATGTACATACTCCGACATTCATCATCATAAAAAAACCATTATATTTTTAACTATTACAACTTATGTCAAAAATAAAACCTCAGATTTCTTCAACATATATTTTGGTTTTCAAATCATCTCTTAAAAATTAAACCAAAAATGTCATAAAAAAGTAATCGAATTTCTTAACCTAGCAATGATACTATCATAGACCTCCTACTACTTACAGTTCAACATTTCTATGACACAAACAAAAAATATTAAAACTATTTTTGATGATGGCATACAAAAACCACAATACCTTAAAACAATTAAGAAATTTTTCTCCATATGCGGATGATGATGAGTTGTTACCGAAAGTATGGGCATAACACTCGTCATAATATGAAAATGTAAAATAATAAAAAGAAAAGTCCAAAAAAACACTAAAGAAAACAATTGTTAAAGTTTTTGGGGTAAAATAACAATGGCAAATAACCACACTCAGTACACTATAGTTACACATACATGATAAATATTGGATGTACAGATATATGTATATGCATATAAAGCCACATGAAGAAATTTTTACAATAAATAGAAAAAAATTCATATACAAACATATAACAAGTTTTAACTGTCTGCTAGCAATCAAAAATTCCATTAAAATTTATTTCTTTTAAAACTTATTTTCGGTTGTTATTTTCATTTTTACATAAACCACAAAATGTTTAGCATACTTTCAGGAAAAATTAGTATTAAGGAGTATTCTTAGTTAGTTTAGTTTTATCTTTGTTCTAGTTCTGTTATAGTTCTGATCTAGTTCTGTTCTAGCTTCGTTCTAGTTCTGTTCTAGTTCTGTTCTGTTCTAGTTCTGTTCTAGTTCTGTTCTAGTTCTGTTCTAGTTCTGTTCTAGTTCTGTTCTAGTTCTGTTCTAGTTCTGTTCTAGTTCTGTTCTAGTTCTGTTCTAGTTCTTCTAGTCTGTTCTAGTTCTGTTCTAGTTCTGTTCTAGTTCTGTTCTAGTTCTGTTCTAGTTCTGTTCTAGTTCTGTTCTAGTTCTGTTCTAGTTCTGTTCTAGTTCTGTTCTAGTTCTGTTCTAGTTCTGTTCTAGTTCTGTTCTAGTTCTGTTCTAGTTTGTTCTAGTTCTGTTCTAGTTCTGTTCTAGTTCTGTTCTAGTTGTTCTAGTTCTGTTCTAGTTCTGTTCTAGTTCTGTTCTAGTCTGTTCTAGTTCTTTCTAGTTGTTCTAGTTCTGTTCTAGTTTGTTATAGTTCTGTTCTAGTTCTGTTCTAGTTCTGTTCTAGTTATGTTCTAGTTCTGTTCTAGTTCGTTCTAGTTCTGTTCTAGTTCTGTTCTAGTTCTGTTCTAGTTCTGTTCTAGTTTGTTCTAGTTTGTTCTAGTTCTGTTCTAGTTCTGTTCTAGTTCTGTTCTAGTTCTGTTCTAGTTCTGTTCTAGTTCTGTTCTAGTTCTGTTCTAGTTCTGTTCTAGTTCTGTTCTAGTTCTGTTCTAGTTCTGTTCTAGTTCTGTTCTAGTTCTGTTCTAGTTTGTTCTAGTTCTGTTCTAGTGTTTCTAGTTCTGTTCTAGTTCTGTTCTAGTTCTGTTCTAGTTCTGTTCTAGTTCTGTTCTAGTTCTTTCTAGTTCTGTTCTAGTTCTGTTCTAGTTCTGTTCTAGTTCTGTTCTAGTTCTGTTCTAGTTGTTCTAGTTCGTTCTAGTTTTTCTAGTTCTGTTCTAGTTCTGTTCTAGTTCTGTTCTAGTTCTGTTCTAGTTCTGTTCTAGTTTGTTCTAGTTCTGTTCTAGTTCTGTTCGTTATGTTCTAGTTTGTTCTAGTTCTGTTCTAGTTCTGTTCTAGTTCTGTTCTAGTTCTGTTCTAGTTCTGTTCTAGTTCTGTTCTAGTTCTGTTCTAGTTCTGTTCTAGTTCTGTTCTAGTTCTGTTCTAGTTCTGTTCTAGTTCTGTTCTAGTTCTGTTCTAGTTCTTTCTAGTTCTGTTCTAGTGTTCTAGTTCTGTTCTAGTTCTAGTTCTGTTCTAGTTCTAGTTTGTCTAGTTTAGTTTGTTCTAGTTCTGTTCTAGTTCTGTTCTAGTTCTGTTCTAGTTCTGTTCTAGTTCTGTTCTAGTTCTGTTCGTTCTGTTCTAGTTCGTTCTAGTTCTGTTCTAGTTCTGTTCTAGTTCTGTTCTAGTTAGTTCTAGTTCTAGTTCTGTTCTAGTTCTGTTCTAGTTCTAGTTCTGTTCTAGTTCTGTTCTAGTTCTGTTCTAGTCTGTTCTAGTTCTGTTCTAGTTCTGTTCTAGTTCTGTTCTAGTTCTGTTCTAGTTCTGTTCTAGTTCTGTTCTAGTTCTGTTCTAGTTCTGTTCTAGTTCTGTTCTAGTTCTGTTCTAGTTCTGTTCTAGTTCTGTTCTAGTTCTGTTCTAGTTCTGTTTTAGTTCTGTTCTAGTTCTGTTCTAGTTCTAGTTCTGTTCTAGTTCTGTTCTAGTTCTGTTCTAGTTCTGTTCTGGTTCTGTTCTAGTTCTGTTCTAGTTCTGTTCTAGTTCTGTTCTAGTTCTGTTCTAGTTCTAGTTCTGTTCTAGTTCGTTTCGAGTTCCTGTTTAACACTTACATACAAATTTTATTTATTTTGTTCACCCTAATATTTATATCTTCATACTCGTTCTGTATGTTATACAAAAAAATTATAATGGTTGTAAGGTAGTGGCGTTTTTTTCCTAGTGAAATTTTTTATTGAAATAGAGATTTTTTGTAGTTTATTTCTATTTTCGGTGGAATTTCATTAAAATGATTTTGATTGACATTTAAAATTTACATCATAGTTGTTTTTGAATTTGCTTTTAACCATTTTTGTAATTAAATGAATATTACATTTAATATATCTGCTGTATGGCCACAAAATTACAAAAAATAACCAAATATAAAATAATTACATATAAAAATACAAAATAAAAATTTTAAAAAAAGAACACAATTTTATGAAACTGAAAACATTTTTTTACACTTTTATTTCACCTAGATGTTAGGCAACAGTTTTATAATTTTATTATTCACTGTTCGCGTTTAACTTAATATTCGTATTTAATTAATACTGTTTTCTTGTGTACTTTTCCCTTTCATTTCAGCACTAATTTAGTAGCTGTTGCAACATTACGACCCGGTGCACCCGATCATATGCGTAAAGAATTTCGCCTGAAAGCCAAACAATTATCGCGTCTAAAAGATGCAAATGTGGCGCCTTTGGTAGGCGCCTGTCTGCGTGATGAACCCATTTGTATGGTCTTGGATTACAGCAATTGTCTGGGTGATTTAAATCAATTTCTGCAAGAACATATAGCTGAAACTAAAGCGGCAGTACAACAACCAAACATGATGAAATATCAAACGTAAGGTGGGTGAAGAGAGATGAAAAAGTAACAAATTTACAAGACAAGAGCAAAATTTTGTAGTTAAGGGATATAAAAGAAACAAGAACGCATTACATTTTATCACTTTGCTATACTTTATTTTATGTTTTTATTTTTGGTAAAATTTTTTACCAAAACTAAAGAAAAATTGTGTTTTTTCTTCTAAAATTGTTTATGCTTGACTACAAAACTTTTCATTTCATTTTATGTATTTCCGTTTTCCTATAATTCTCTTTCTGTCTCTCTCTCCCTTTTTGACTCTTTTTATATTTTTACACGCTTTATCTTGTTTCCCGGCAATGTCTACAAAACGACAACGTCCATAATGATGATGATGCTGACTACATTGCTGGCAATGACTATGATGACGCCACACATTGGGTTGCATACTGTAATTGCTACAAACATGTCTAACAAATATTGCTGCTGCTCTCCTTTTTTTGGTTACTCGTTTTTACTTTATGGTGGCTGGTGTTGGTTGCTGTTTTTAAAATTTCCCGGTCTCGTGTTGATTTCATTTATATTGCTGCTGTCTTCACTAATATACACGCATACAATTCAAAAATTTCTGTAACGGATGTACAAACTTTGTTAACTTGTTGTTGCCGCTGCTGTTATTGTGCTGCTTCATCTATTTCTATGTTTCCAACTTTTTGTTACTCTCTTTACTCCTGTTTTTCTTGTATTTAATGTCTGCTAATGTTGGCTGATATTGTTGCATTTTTGGTTATTTTGAAATCCCTTAACATCCATATGATATTTTATTATCCTCTTGGCTCTTATATTACTCTCCTCCTTTCCTTGTTTATTTTACAACCCTCTCATACAACTTTTATTTATTTACTGTGTATGTATTTCTTTTCTTTACTTACAGTTATGGCTGCCTGGTATATATCGCAACACAAATTGCATCGGGCATGAAATATTTGGAACAAATGAATTTTGTTCATAGAGATTTAGCAACAAGGTAAGTTTGTATTTCCTTTAATGTTTTTTATTTGAAATACGTGTATGAAGGAGTAAGCAGTTTCTAACGTTTCCTGCCTTAAGGACAACTTCCTTTTTAAAAGGATTTCTTTGTAGTCAATGAGCTAGTAGGGATGAAATATTTTGTTTTGATTTTGCTAACTTTAATATTGAATAAAAAATTTAAAGATATTTAAATAATTAAAAACAATATTAATAAATTATTGTATATAGTCTAGTCTACAGTCTAGTCTATAGCCAAGTCTATAGTCTAGTCTATTGTCTAGTCTATAGGCTAATCTATAGTCTAGTCTATAGTCTAGTCTATAGTCTAGTCTATAGTCTAGTCTATAGTCTAGTCTATAGTCTAGTCTATAGTCTAGTCTATAGTCTAGTCTATAGTCTAGTCTATAGTCTAGTCTATAGTCTAGTCTATAGTCTAGTCTATAGTCTAGTCTATAGTCTTGTCTATAGTCTAGTCTATAGTCTAGTCTATAGTCTAGTCTATACTCTAGTCTATAGTCTAGTCTATAGTCTATTCTATAGTCTAGTCTATAGTCTAGTCTATAGTCTAGTCTATAGTCTAGTCTATAGTCTAGTCTATAGTCTAGTCTATAGTCTAGTCTATGGTCTAGTCTATAGTCTAGTCTATAGCCTAGTCTATAGCCTAGTTTATAGTCTAGTCTATAGTCTAGTCTATAGTCTAGTCTATAGTCTAGTATATAGTCTAGTCTATAGTCTAGTCTATAGTCTAGTCTATAGTCTAGTCTATTGTTTAGTCTATAGTTTAGTCTATAGTCTAGTCTATAGTCTAGTCTATAGTCTAGTCTATAGTCTAGTCTATAGTCTAGTCTATAGTCTAGTCTATAGTCTAGTCTATAGTCTAGTCTATAGTCTAGTCTATAGTCTAGTCTATAGTCTAGTCTATAGTCTAGTCTATAGTCTAGTCTATAGTCTAGTCTATAGTCTAGTCTATAGTCTAGTCTATAGTCTAGTCTATAGTCTAGTCTATAGTCTAGTCTATAGTCTAGTCTATAGTCTAGTCTATAGTCTAGTCTATAGTCTAGTCTATAGTCTAGTCTATAGTCTAGTCTATAGTCTAGTCTATAGTCTAGTCTATAGTCTAGTCTATAGTCTAGTCTATAGTCTAGTCTATAGTCTAGTCTATAGTCTAGTCTATAGTCTAGTCTATAGTCTAGTCTATAGTCTAGTCTATAGTCTAGTCTAGTCTAGTCTAGTCTAATAGTCTTGTCTATAGTCTAGTCTATAGTCTAATTTATAGTCTAGTCTATAGTCTAATTTATAGTCTAGTCTATAGTCTAGTCTATAGTCTAGTCTATAGTCTAGTCTATAGTCTTGTCTATAGTCTAGTCTATAGTCTAGTCTATAGTCGAGTCTATAATCTAGTCTATAGTCTAGTCTATAGTCTAGTCTATAGTCTAGTCTATAGTCTAGTCTATAGTCTAGTCTATAGTCTAGTCTATAGTCTAGTCTATAGTCTAGTCTATAGTCTAGTCTATAGTCTAGTCTATAGTCTAGTCTATAGTCTAGTCTATAGTCTAGTCTATAGTTTAGTCTATAGTTAGTCTATAGTCTAGTCTATAGTCTAGTCTAGTCTAGTCTAGTCTATAGTCTAGTCTGTAGTCTAGTCTATAGTCTAGTCCACCGTCTAGTCCACCGTCTAGTCCACCGTCTAGTCTATAGTCTAGTCTGTAGTCTAGTCTATTGTCTAGTCTATAGTCTAGTCTATAGTCTAGTCTATAATCTAGTCTATAGTCTAGTCTATAGTCTAGTCTATAGTCTAATCTATAGTCTAGTCTATAGTCTAGTCTATAGTCTTGTCTATAGTCTAGTCTATAGTCTAGTCTATAGTCTAGTCTATACTCTAGTCTATAGTCTAGTCTATAGTCTATTCTATAGTCTATAGTCTAGTCTATAGTCTAGTCTATAGTCTAGTCTATAGTCTAGTCTATAGTCTAGTCTACAGTCTAGTCTATAGTCTAGTCTATAGTCTAGTTTATAGTCTAGTCTATAGTCTAGTCTATGGTCTAGTCTATAGTCTAATCTATAGCCTAGTCTATAGCCTAGTCTATAGTCTAGTCTATAGTCTAGTCTATAGTCTAGTCTATAGTCTAGTCTATAGTCTAGTCTATAGTCTAGTCTATTGTTTAGTCTATAGTTTAGTCTATAGTCTAGTCTATAGTCTAGTCTATAGTCTAGTCTATAGTCTAGTCTATAGTCTAGTCTATAGTCTAGTCTATAGTCTAGTCTATAGTCTAGTCTATAGTCTAGTCTATAGTCTAGTCTATAGTCTAGTCTATAGTCTAGTCTATAGTCTAGTCTATAGTCTAGTCTATAGTCTAGTCTATAGTCTAGTCTATAGTCTAGTCTATAGTTTAGTCTTAGTCTAGTCTTTAGTCTAGTCTATAGTCTATACTAGACTAGTGTAGTTGAAATTCTAGTCTATTGTCTAGTGTAGTCTATGGTCTAACAATTTTCTTGTTGTCTTTAAAAGCAAACTTTTAGTTATATACTTCTCATGTCTAACGAGTGAAAGAAAAAAAAACGTTTGTATTCATCTTACGGAATGAATAAAACTTCATTAAGTTTTAACAATTTTATAGTAAAATGTCTTTGCATACTTTGTGGCTAAAGTTACAGCTGTAAAACTTTCAGTTACATTTCAAAAAATCTATTTGTTGCTTCAATGGTTTTTTGTACTGTCTTTGTTTTAGCTACTTACAATTTGCTATTGCGTTGTTTTTGTTGTTATTTTTTTAAATTGTTCATCCTTATGTTTTCCTCCTTGAAGCATTTATATGGCTTAATACAATTCTAAATTGTCCTTTTTTCCATGTTGTTGTTGAGTTTTTTTTTTCTATTTTTCATGTAACTTGTATTATTCGCCTGACAATATGCAATAGTAAATTTGTTGTAAAGTTTTATGTTTTACTTTTTTCTTGCTTATTTCTTTTGGAATTTTAGGAGGTGGGTTGCTTGTTTGTTGGTTTGAGAAGTTAGTTTTTATTTCATTGTGAAAAATATGTACATGTCGTCGCATTTTCGCTACTGTTTTGTCACGCAATTTTGTGTTACAAATATAAATTTTTTTTTTTTTTTTTTTTAATTTTTTTCTTTTGTACATTACAATTGTTTAAGTAAGAGTTGAATAGTTATGTAGGGTTTGTGTTTGAAAAAAAAATGTTGCATGATTTTAGGGTAGAGAATTTTAAGTTTTAAAATAAGTTTTAAACCAAATTTTGTATAAAACAGTGGTCGAATTTGATAAATTAACATATTCTTAAATGTTTTTTAAAGATTTTGGCAAAATTTTCTGTCGACAGTGCTGGCAAGCCCTATTTCTTCACTAGCGTGCTCATTTTCAGTGTCTTTGTTTATAGACTTGTATCTAGTTTAAAGAAGTTACATTTTTTCACAATCTTGTATGTGTTTTTTTTACGTTTCTTTGCTCAGTTGTTGGTTTCCTAGCCTTTAGGTGCTTTTACACAAAATTTTATTTCAGTAACCAAAAAAAATTCATTTTAGTTAAAATTTAAAATGTTGCTTCTTTTCTAATACATTTTTTCTATAGTTTTTCCTTTTCTTTCTCCAAAAAAATACTGTTTTTATTTTTCCTCAATTTCTTTCTTCATTTTAACAGTTAAAGAAATTGTGTCCTTGGGGTAAATTATGTTAACATTTTTTCTTCCTTTTTATTTTCTGCAAAAATTCGTTTGTGTTTTCAGTTATTACTTGTCTCATGTTTAGTCTTTGGGGAAATTATTAAATTTAAACATGAATTCAAATATTTGTTAAAAAGATTAAAGGACAATTTTTCCTTTTTGGTAATGGAAAAAAAAGACAAATTATAGAGAAAATGTGAAATAAAAACGAAATTATAGACAAATTCTAAGCACATAATTTTGGCTGTTACAAAAAACACCCAAAACAAATAATTCATAAAAAATCTGTGAAATTTTGGGGAGGCTTATTAAATATTGTTTCGGTCAACAAAAACAAAGATTTATTTTTTTTAGTAAATTGTGTTGTTAATTCGGAAAAGGCAAATATTGAAAGAACATGATGGAGTGTACATATGTACAATGTACATTGTACATATACTAATGCCCACGTATTTGTCCTGTTTTTTTAAAACTTAAGGCCTAGTCTATAGAGAAGACTTGAGACTAGAATATAGACTAGATTATTGATAATTCTAGTCAAAAGACTATACTACAAACAATCTTATAGACTAGACTAAAGATTTGACTATATACTACACTGCATACTAGGCAATATACCAGACTATAGACTAAACTATAAACCAGACTATAGGCTAGACATTAGACTAGACTACAGAGTATACTATAGACTAGACTATAGACTAGACTAGACTATAGACTAGACTAGACTAGGCTAGACTATAACCAGATTATATTCTAGAATATAGACTAGACTATAGATGAGACTATAGACTAGACTATAGATTAGCCTATAGACTACACTATAGACGAGACTATAGAGTAGACTATAAACTAGACTTTAGACTAGACTATACACTAGACAAAATACTATACTATAAACTAGCATATAGACTAGACGAAAGAATAGACTATAGACTAGCCTATAGACTAGACTACAGACTAGGCAATATACTAGAATATAGACTAGACTATAAACCAGACTATAGGCTAGACTTTAGACTAGACTATAGACTAGACTATAGACTAGACTATAGACTAGACTATAGACTAACTATAGACTAGACTATAGACTAGATTATAGACTAGACTATAGACTAGACTATAGACTAGACTATAGACTAGACTATATACTAGACTATACACTAGACTACAGACTAGACTATAGACTAGACTATAGACTAGACTATAGACTAGACTATAGACTAGACTATAGACTAGACTATAGACTAGACTATAGACTAGACTATAGACTAGACTATAGACTAGACTATAGACTACACTATAGACTAGACTATAAACTAGGCTATAGACTAGACTATAGACTAGACTATAGACCTAGACTAGGACTA